GAGAAGTTTCATCAGCTAAGAGCTTTAGGGTTTGTTTTGTTTAATATTTTTAAGAGTGAAGATGAAGGGCAATAGTATGAGGGCATTTATGGTGTTGGCCTTGGTCATGCTTGCGACCACAGTATCGGCCTCTTTCACAGAATGTTACCCGGCATGCTTTGGTTTATGTGTTATTATCAAACACACCCCCAAACAATGTGCTATCAGTTGCTTGAAACACTGCATTCCAACCTCTCGAAATGATCCCCTTTACCCCTGCACATCGGGTTGTGCATATTCTAAGTGTTCCAACATCAGTACTGAGCAAAACCCTGGTATATATCATCTCTCTCTCTCTCTCTCTTGATATATTACATTTTCTCACTCAGATGCTTGATAATATTTTGCAGGTGCCGAAGAAGTGGAGGCCTGTGTCAATGGTTGCTCTCAGGCATGCAGCAAGAAGCATTAGTATTTGACTCTAGTTGTGCTATGATTGTTCAAGAATAAAATGAAATAAAATATGAAGATGATATGATTGCTTCTCTTCTGTTCTGTCCCTTTTCTACCAAATCTTAATGAAAAACTTGTTTTCTTCCCTTTTTATTTCCTTTCCCAAAAAGAAAATGGAAATGTTATTGAAAGCCATATTTCTGTTACGCCAATAACTCTGTCTCACCATTCTGAAAACTATGTAATATCAAGCAAAAAATAAAAAAAAGAAAGATGAAATATGGTTTTAGATCTAATACGTTAACAACTCCCTACATGTGAAAGAAACACATTAACCTAAGGTTAACAAGCCAAATATTACCCTCTGTCTTTTTCTTTATGTATTGGTGAGATACAAACAAATAGTTTCATGCATTAAAAACAAAGTTGTTTTCTGTAAGTTATAGATGAAGTTATCGGCAGACGAACAATTCATGTTAAAGATTAAACCTAAACATTGATGAAGTTATCAACAGAACAAAGAAGATTTTTTGTTTAAAGGCTTAAAGCTAACTTGTTCTAATAAGTAATAATAGAAACAAAGGGGTTATTGGCGGAAATGAAAAGGTTTATTGGCGTAACAGAGACCAGAATGAAAGAAAAAATAGACAATAAAAAATAAAAGCTAACCGGTTCGTATTATGGAAATGGTTGTGCTTTTCATGTGCTCTGCAATGGTGATGGAGAGGAGTAAGTTCGGCCTCCTTCTCTCTGCTTTTTGATTTTAGGAAAAAAACTCAAACCCAAATAGATGTAAACTGTAAAAGTTGAAAATAGTTGGAGTTTGTCATTTAAACGCATTGGGACAAGCAATTCTGACGTGGATTAATAGATCCAGCTGACCCAAAAAAAATCTTGGGACGGATGCTTTCGTCCGTCCTTGAATGAGCCAAAGTGAACTCGTTATTGATCTCAGATGTGCAGAAATTAAGCAGTAATCTTGTTTCTTAGCATACCCTCAATCCCATGTTTCTGTGATTTCAGTGGGATTGAGGAGGATGGCTATGTAAGTTGGTTCCATGCTTTAATCAATTTTAATGCGAAAGGCCAAAAAACAAAGCAAAATAAGTCATTGATTTTAATCTGATTTTCAAAAGGTGTCTCTGCTATGGTTTAAAATATTAATGCGTATTCCTCGGTAGATATGATAGTATTGCCTGGGAATCGTTCAAACAACCGGTTCCATTTTACTCCAAACAACCTGGTCCTTGGTCAAAATTTGTTGAATTGATCAGTGGTCTGTTCGACTCGATCAACAGTTTTGGCCATCCATTTGAATCGAACTGGCGACTAGAATGGTTCCAGTTCTATGTCGATTTTTAAAACCTTGATATGTATTGATTTTCAAGGTCCCTAATACGCTAAATATATATAAGGATTTATAACAAATGGCTTTATTCAAAAGCTAATAGCCTTCCTAGTTATGGCATGGTTCAAGTTGGACAAATAAAACAGTTTCAATCCATGAGTTTTGCCCCTTGGATCACATGTATATTGATACTTGTTACCCTTAAGTTTCTGATCATTGCTAAAATCTCCTCTGAAGTTTGGTAGTAGCAATCACCTCCCTCAAACTTTTTAACACATTTGCAAATAAACCCCCTCTATTTGGATCCTCTAATAAGAGACATAAAAATGTTTATTTTTCAAATTTTCTATTCCAAACCCTTCTTATCTCTTTCCTGAAATTGATTTATTTGCCAAATTTGTCTTTTATATCAATTCCTCAAAGGTAAAGCTGCAACTTTAAACTCGCTTCTTTTTTGTTGTTCATAAGTTTGTATTGTTTTTCTATATAAACCATCCTCAATAGTAATTGTATGGGTATTTTAGACATTTTTATGCTTCTTGTCAGGGATCTACATGCAACTATGTCAAAAAGTTCAGGGGATGTTTCAGCAATGGTCAAACAGTTGAGGGGAGGTTTCAGCAATTGTATAGTCATGAGACTACACGAGAGTAGGGATGCAAACAGATCGGATCGGATTTGAATCAGGGTATATTCGAATCCAATCCGACACTGCTCATGTCGGATCCGGTCCAATCAATAGGACTCAATTTGAATTCGAAACCTATCAGTAAGTCAGATCTTCAAATCTGATCCGATTCAACTTGTTTTCTTTAAAAATTAATAAAGTATACTAATTTAAATAAAGTAAAAACAAAAAATACAAATATTTTTTAATTATTTTCATCATATATATATACATTTTTTATAAAAGAAATAAATAATATAATAAATTTATAAATAAATAAATAACATATATATGTATTATACATATAATTATATTTATAAACATATAATATAGATCAGATTGGATCTTCTCGAATCAGATAGGGGGTGATCCGAATCTGATCCGATTTCTAATCAAATCATATTATTTTGATCCGATCTAATTTGAAGATCCGAATATGGGTGTCAAATTCAATCAAATAAGAACGGATCTCAAATCAAATCATTGATCCAATCCATTTGCACCCCTACACGAGAGGGGGTAGTCCATCTCTCGTACCCCTACTCTGGTGGCAATGGGATTGATCCCAAATCTCCACTACAACCGGCTAGAAAAAATTGTTTCATATAAAGAGAAAAAGAGATGGAGTGAATCTGACCATGTTTGCTAATGGCCCAATAGTCGAGATGGTCACTCGGTATCCCTCTGCTATATAAAGGCGTGAGAATGTAATTGCAAGTTATTCGTGGCAAGGTCAGTGGACCTAGTGATAGGGGCACAACTCGAGTTGGCATTTTACATACTTTAGACGAAGCTCATTCAAATTTTGACAAAAACCCAACCTGGTAGCCCAGCCAAGTTGCACCCCTACCTAGTGCACCCTGTTCTACCCCTTTGTTCCTCACAAAGAACTCTTCACACAGATCACGCATGATACAATCACATCTCTCCGAGTATTGGAAACATCTTTCATGAATAATTACATATAAATACGGGAGATGTTCTTAATGTGCAGTTGAGACATGCTGTAAGGTCTGTGTGAGGAGCAGATCCATTCTGTTTTTATGACTAGCCCCTATTTTTTCTCATTAACTCCCATTTGAACCATTATTTCAAATTTATTTCTCTAATTAATTTTCATTCTTTCACCTGACATTAATTCGCAATTAATTTTCTATTTCTCTCTCCCCTATGCACCATTAATTTTTACCAACTAAACCATTAATTCTCTCTCGTATACAAATAACCAAATTTGAACATGGACATCTAGCTTTGGAAAACAATAAATCCAGCACTATACCATATTTCAAATACTTATGTAACAATGTAAACTCTAGATTTTAACTCACATTCTTACATCCTGGTTCATGCTTATCAACAAATTTAGAAAGCAATTAATTATTAAAACGTGTAGCCTCCAAAATCTCTCCTGAACTATGGGTGTGTCACTTTTTTACTTAAACCAACCAATTGGAATAATTAAAAAACTGATCAAATCGGGTCAAATTGGGTTAGATTGGTCGGTTTCATTAGTTTAATGAACAGCCCTAATTGTAGAGATGGCAAAGGAAAAATTTTAGGAAGCATTTGATAAATTTAGACCTAATCCGCCTCCCTAAACCTCCCAATATGTATTCTCTCCAAACCCATAGTGGGTTAAACTTTTAGAATCCAAATCCTCCTCAGACATGAAAATGCAAAACCCTCCCTGACCCTATCCTCTCCACATTTTATTCTCTTATACCCAAATCCGAGAATTTTATCTGCAAAATCCATTTTAGTTCATTTTCATGGACGTTAAAGATTGTGTAGGTTATTGGTGGGGTGGTTGTATTTTGCTTTTATTTGTCACTCTTTCATGGAAGTCTGGTTTTATCTTCTGGTGTGATATTCTGTCACCCAGTTAACCTGTGACAGAGGCGCAGTGATAAGTCTGCTTTTATCTTGCTTACAATAGATTTTCTTTTTATTTTGATATTATAAAAAAGGGGCAATAGCCTCATTGAGGTCATAAAGGCTAAAGGCCTACAGCCCCTCTGAGCAATCTAACAGCCAAGCCACCCAATTACATCATGAGAGTCCTCTACCTTTGTTCACTCAAAGCACAAGCATCAAAGGTCAATCATTTCTGTTCACAACATGTCTCCAATACCAATAGCACAAAGATCAGAATATCTCATCTCCTGGCTCCAGAAATGTTCTCTAATCCGAAGGGCCTAAGGCTCCCTGTCAAAATTGAGCTCAATCGCTCCCAATGCCAAATGATCAGCCCAACACAGTTTTCTGCCTCTTGATAGATGAGCTTGCTACAAAGCCCACTGAGATGCCACTTTAACTTCTCTCAATAGTATCCATTATCCAATTAGCTACTTGAACTGCTATAACTTTTTTACAACACCAATGAATTAAAGGAAATTTCTCTAAATTAGAAAACAGCAGCATCTGGAAAATCAAGTTGAAAGGATCAAAGGAAATGAATGATGCGGAAAGGAAAATCAAAATAAGAGGTATAAGCAAATTATTCACAACTTGCATAAGCATTATCTATCAATCTATAAGTTAACATAGTCTAAGTAAAAACCAACCAAAGAGAATTCAGCATTTAAAACATGCATCAGTGTATTTCGCCGTTTCCAAATAAAGACATCCGTTCTGTTAAAGTATCTCAAGCATTACAATTAGTCCATATCTCCTCAGCTGCAATTATGCAGGTCCAACCCAGGCTTTATCGCAAAAAGGGAAAAATAATGTCCGCCAAAGACAAGATTGTAAATAAACAACAACCAGTTGGATGGGACCCTATAAATTCTCAGCTACATAACACCTTACAAAGTACCAAAACATAAACAAGAATAAAAGGAGAATTTTCAGAAGCTATTACCCACGGTGAGGTTAAAGGGAAAAAAGAATTCCCTTTAGATTTTAACACTGGACAATTCAATCATCCGAAGCCTTGGGTGAATTTTCTGGTGTCTTCAGAACTGCAGTCATTTTGCCTTTGTGTGCCGTAACTGATGCGCGGAACTCTTCCACTATGGAACCATCCTTCAACTTAAGAGCAAATGTAGATAGACCATCCTTACCTTCACCAGTACTATTCACGCAAGCGAAAGTAACACCTCTCTTGTCCATATTTGTGAGCTTCATGTCTGGATAAAGATTCGCATTCAAGATCAACCTGTAGTTTCCCCTAGCTCTCATTATAAGTCTGGCTTTTTCAGTGCCAGTTGTGGAGACATTCACCTTGAGTTCTCCTTTTCCACGTTCTTTCCACCCTCCATCAAGGTACTCAAACAAGATAGCATCGGCAGTGAAAACTGCCTTCTCATTCTCTTCCCCTGTCTCAACTGGAACCTCCTGCATGGATGCAACATTACTACCCTCACCCTTGGTGGCATTGGATGCTCCGGCAGCACCAAAGAGGGAAGAGTTCCCATTGTTAGAGTTACCAAAACTGAAGGAAGTAAAAGAAGGTGATTTGTCATTCTTCATTCCAAAAAGAGACCCAGAACTAGAACTAAATGCAGGTGCATCTTTTGGAATTGACCCAAACGTGAAAGAGGAACTAGAAAATCCAGTTCCAGCAAGCCCTGTGAATGCATTTTGGCTGCTTGACAACTGTTGGAATGAACTCAAAGGAGCTGTTGCAGCAGCTGGAGGTGTGTTTTCATGTCCATGGTCTTTCTCAGCTTCCTTTTCAGTTTCTGCTGTTACAGCTGGAGATGTATTTCCAGAGCTGTTTTCTTTCTTAGGTTCATTCTCAGTTTCTTCCCCTGCAGCTGCTTCATTTTCATCATTTGTCTCTGGTTTAGTATTTTTATCATTTGTCTCTGGTTTAGTAGCCTCAGCAGCAGGAGTTTCTTTCTCCTTATCAGCAGTAGGTTCTACCTCTGGTTCATCACTCTTATTTTCTGAGTGCTGATTGTTCTTGCCCTCCCCTTCAGGTTCTACCTCTGGTTCATCACTCTTATTTTCTGAGTGTTGATTGTTCTTAACCTCCCCTTCAGGTTCAGCCACCACAGAAGCCTCTACAGTTTCCTTATCCACAGTACCTTTTTCATCTACCCCCTCAGAAGCATCCTTCTCACCACTTGGTTCAGTTGGTTGCACTTTAGGAATAACACTAGCTGGTTCTGAGCTGGGTTGAGTAGGAGGTACCAGGCAAATTGAAGCAAATGGATTGGAAGAAGCAGCAGAAGTAGGTTGATGACGACGAACCTTAACAATTCTTCTGGTTGCCAACACTTCATCACTGGCTCTCTTGAAAGTCCCCATCTCTTGTTCAGGAGCATCTTCCTCATCATCAAGACCAGGGTTATCCCGAGAGAGTTCTCTTCCTGCAACCCTCTTTTTTGAAGGAGGAAGGGTATTTTCTGCACCTCCCATTGAGAACTCACGTATCCAAATAAAGCTAAAGAATTTCTTTCTTTAGTAAATCAAAAGAAAGTAATGTTGCAATCTGCATAAATATTCAAAAATTAAATGGTGAGGACAGAAAAGTCAATCAACAAAACATGAAGGAATAGAAAACGATTTGAACAATTAGAAAGGTCCTTTTCCTAACAGGGGAAGGGGGATATGATTGTATGAGTGTGAAAGGTTAAAATATATTAAAGATATGACCATGCAAGGATATATAGACTTCTGTTAATTCTGAAATGCATTAAACTCCAAACTTAAGGAATGGATCTAGAAACCAAAACTTGTAGTAATAAATAAACATGCACAAAACCAAATCGACTGAAAATCCAGAATTAAGTGCATAAATGGGTGAAAACGTAACCTATAATTTATTTATTTTTTCTATAAGAATTTATTATTTATTTATTTTGTAAGGTACCTACACATTACTTATCTATATCAATAAGCAGGTTTCCCCTAAATTATTTACTGACAAGCTGTATTGCATAGTTTTCAAGGAACCAAGGCAAGGCTAGGCAACAGAACCAAGGTGTTGCCAAGTAAAACAGAAAAAAAAAATATTTCCCAGGGTAGGTTTCATAAACATATTTCCTTGATAATTATCCATAATTTTCATAAGAAAAATATAAACTTCATGTTGAAGAATAGAAAACCAACATAGTCATGAGCAGAAAAAGAAAGATAAAAATTCAAAATAATATAGGGGCTGAACCCCTATTTTTGTTATAGGAAAAGAAGAAAAGAAAAGATGAAAGAAGAAGATGTGGAAGAAGAAAATGTGTTGATTAGACAAAATTTTAAGTTCTTCCTTACTTATTTGTTCAGGTTTTTAAGTCTTTGAGGGTCAATACAGCATTTGGCAATGTCAGTGATGATTAAAACCTAACAAATAAGAAAATAATAAAAAGAAAATAGTATATAAACACACAAAATGAATATTTTAGTCTAGTTACAGGCATAGGACTCAGAGCCTAACATATGTCCATGAGTCTGACTAGGCAAGAAAGAAAAAAATATGGACTCATACACGCATCCAAAGTCAGCATAGTTATTACAAAAAAAATGTGCAAATTCTATCATCATGTGTCCTAGTAGATTGCATAAGTAAAATAGTAAATATGAAAGTTTATCTTTGTACCCTAAAAACCTCTACAAGAAAAATATGGAATTTGTTATGTTAATTAAATCTTCTTTTATATAATACAAACACAAGAAAAAGTAATGGATGAGCATAGCAGAAATGCAAAGGTTGAGATAGATGAGTGAGAAAACTGGAAATGATAGGATAATGAATTTATTGAAAAGGAACCTAGGAAAGAGTAGCTCCAATAGGTGATAAAATGAGGCAGAGTAAACCAAGATAGTTTGGTCACAAACAGAAAAGACCATCTACAGAAACTGTGAGAAGAATTGATCCAGTACAAATTGAAGGGTCTAGAAGAGTTAGGGACAGGCCAAAAAGGGCATTGGTTGAAGTTGTGAGAAATGATTTATGAACTTTTATGAGTTTAATATTTTATTTATCAGAAAGCATCACTAAACGTACGGGCATTAATTGGAAACTATTCATTAAATGATTGACTGAAAATTCATGTGTAAACCCAAATTCTTGGACCAAGAAGAGGGAATCGCAGAAGCAGAAAATGAAGCACAAAACCAATTATATAACTGGAGAAGAACTAGAAATAGAAATAGAAAGTATATATAGTTGAAAAAGAAATGCATTCTCCATAAATAAATGGAAGAACACAAACAGGACTCAGAAGCAGAGAAATACAGGAAGAAGACAAAACTCGGCGGGAAATGAAGCAAAAATAAAAATGTTTAGGAAAAACTAAATGCCACACCAATTTTTTCCACTGAAGGAGCTACAGTTTGAAAGCTAAGCACCTTACACTTCTTCAGAGCCATCTATTTACCTTCACATACCCTAAAAGAAAGCAACCCACTTGGTCCTAAATAAAGTCCAGACGGAGAAGAAACCCAGGAAATCCTTTAATGTTAAAACAAATTTGAAAAAATCAGAGTAGCCCTTATTAAATAAGAAAACCAATCTTGTGTGCATTCCAGCAACCACCATAGCGTACATTCTCCCCAATGATTTTAATTACAATACAGTTTTAATATTTAATTAAATGATGAAAATTTTTAACAGAAACGGAAAACCCTGTGGAAGCAATACCTACTAGGGCAAGAAACTAGACTACGACCTGATTTTTCAAATATCATGAACTGGGCCGCCTAAACCAACACCAGATGTGGATAAAAACCACATCGACTTCCACCCATCACCCATGAACAACCAGCAAAAATCCCCAACAGAAAACAATAAATAAAATAAATAAAACCCCAACAAGAACGAACCCATTTATAAAATAGGAAAAGAAACCTAAAAGCAGCAAAACAAAATAATCAAAGAATATTGAAAAGGAGGAAACCTACCCCGATTGTTGAACAGACGAACCGTCTCAGGGGGAAGAGTTGCAGCAGAGGTAGGGTTTCGTTTCCCTCTGGTTTTGGGAGTGTTTGAAGCACAATTGAGCTGGGGGAAAACGCGAAAATTGATAATAAAAAGAGGGAAATCTCTTCTCTTCTCCCCCCTCTCTATCTCTCTCTTTATTGGGCCCTGGCTCGAATCGAATCGAGCGAGTTTCGACTGTCGAGTGACCTCCCTGGCTCCCTCTGCTTACATGTGCATCCCGGAACGGATTTATCGTCCCTGCTTGTCTACCTGAGGAAGACAACCAGGATTGTACTCCTTAATCCACATCCGTTAGAATGGAATCCCCAGAACTGTCAACTGCAGACGAAACCCGTCTGATTGTAATCTTTTATCTCAAATGTCTATGGTTAGATTTCTGTCTGTTCACATTTACTATATGCTATCAATCCCCTATTATAGAAGATTCCATTGCAACGACATCAACCCCAGGAAGACAGCTAGAAGGGAAGACATTAGATTTACACACTTGGCATTCGTTTTTGTGTCGGGTTTGGCACCGCTAATCGAACCAACCAACGGTCTAACCCGGAACCGGGCACCGCTAATCGGGATGGTACCCTGATAAGTGATAACTTACCCCGGCTGTAAGAACAAAGAAGTCGTCCATCGGGGTGGAACCACCGAACCGAGTTCAGATCTGCGCCCCACAACGTCCCACAATACATCCCTGCCGTGTATTGGATATATCTCTCGATGATGATATTATCAATCTGGAATTATCATCCAGAAATGTTCTCAATACACAGAAAGGATGTGCTGTAGGACGTTGTGGGGCGCCTCAAACTTAATGGAGGGTCAACACCAAAAATCGGCATTGTCAAAAAAACTAATAACCATTTGATAATTTTAAATTTACAGAAATATATAACTTTTTTGTTCTTTTTGTGGGCCGATGAAGACCTCCTCTACGTCCATGTAAGCCCAATGAATATTGGGTCTCAACTTTGATGGTGTCTCAAGTAAACATGAGAGACCCAAAATTTGTTCGGAGAAGTATGGACAGGTTCATTGCAAAATTCTGATTTTCATTGCAGATCTACAATATTTCAGAGATCAATTATCCCCACCCTATGCACTAATGCCCGCCCGTGAATTAACATCAATTCCGAGCTGGCATACGTTGGTTCGTTCATAACAAGGGAGAGGTTAAGGAGGATGTCACCCATAAAATTAAAGCAATATAGGTAAAATGGAGGGGTGCATGAAAGACCATCAACACCCCCCATAAGAAATGATTTGTTGCAATTTGAAGGGATTAAAAGGGACAGGGGTAGATCAAAAAGGACATAGGTATAAATAGTAAGAAATAATTTAAACACCAATAATTTAATTAGAATGGCAAAAGAAAGATCCATGTAGCCAAACCCCATATAATAAGAACAACGCGTGTATGATGATGATGAATTATCCAATAGTTTCCTCAATTATATCAATTACACCTTTCTTGTAACATTTGGGGGAGTTCATGGAATTGGCATAATAATAACAATAAATAAATGTTTTTTCTTTTCTAAATGCCTATAGCCTAATCGTCCTATCCAATATAATATAAAGTGGGTAATGGATAAGTGAGACAATTTCCAATAACCTAATTGTGTAGCTAGGACAATCTCTCATCAAACGAACAAGGGCTACACAAATTGGTAGTGGCTCATTTTCCATTGGGGGACAGGGGTCATGAGGCTACACAACCCTCCAACCCTAAGTGACAGTGGGATTTGATCCCAACAACCCAAAGAATGTACCAGCTAAGCCACCATCACTTGGTGGTAGGGGGGCTGGGTATTGCACATGCGATTATATATAGTTTTGGGTCTATAGCTTTTATGTATAAAATGTTATATAATATGTGTATAAAATTTATTTTATGCTTGTATAATATAAAATATTTTAATAACAGGTGTTATATTATAATATTTATATATAAACTATAAACTATAAACTATAAAATAAGATAACATATATATATATATATATATATATATGTGTGTGTGTGCGCGCACGTGTATGTGTTAAAACAAGTTTGAAGTTTTGGGGCTAAGCTTTGCCCTGAAATTTGTAAGCCTAAACTCACACTAGGCTTGATCACAAAACCTAGGCCTAAGCCTAGAGTTTTCTAGGGTGGGTTAATATGATCACCCCTCATTGGTGGGGGTTATTTGATGTTGTTTAGTTGAAACATGCAATACATACAAATTGCCTTTCTTGAGATGAAGTCTAATCATTCTAGCTGAATTGACTCATATATGATGTGACAATAGACACACATCATCATCCTCATCATCATCATTATCCAATCCTTTTCCCAACATCAACATGGGGTCTTCTACATGAGTCCTATTTTATTGATTTATTTTGTTTAATGACATTTATTGTGAAATTGCAATTGCATTTTTTTTTTACTTTTTTTTACCCATGTCCTTTTTGGTCTACCCCTTGCCCTTTTAACCTCCATTCAACTCGTAACAAAACACTTTCTTACTATGAGTGTTGTCGATGCTTTTCTATGCACATGACAAAACCATCTTAGCCTACTTTAACTTTATCACCTACTTGATAAGTTCTTATGAATGATTCAAATTATAATCCTATAATTTCTATTTTTTTCGCTCATTCATCCCATCATATGCATCTTAACACACTCATTTTTAGGACACCTTACTTTTGGTTTTTTGATTGTCCGACACCTTCCTCCATACAACATGGTTGACCTTATAATTGTTTAAAAGAACTAGTAAGTGTGAATGTGGCAATTCTAGATGAATTTGTTATTTTTTGGCTTCCAAAATTTTTTATAAACTTTATGTATTTGTTATTTTTTGCTTTTTATTATTAATCGTATGTAAATTATAAAATCCAAATCGGATTACATAAATATCTCATTCAAATATGTGATAATCGGATTGAGTTGTGAAGTTTCAAAGTATCAATGACACCCTACTTGCTTGGCTAGATTTTTTTTTTTTGATGCTTTATCCTTTTGGTGTATATTTTTCCATTAATATATATGTATATATAAGTTTTAAATGAATGGAATTGAATGAGGTGAAAAGTAGTAGTTCAATTTACAATTTAAACCTCACAATTAAATAAGGATTAAATTAAAAAATGAGTATTTTAGTCAAAATAAAGTTCTACAATATTATTCATATTTTTAACATTAGCGTAAATATAGAATTATGGGTGTGTTCAGTTTTTTTTTCTTTTTATATTTTTGTATGTAAACATAATTATGATATGCCACACTTACTTTTTGTTTAATATGATAAATACATAATATTATAAATATAGATTTTTTTTGCAAAACATATGTATTTTTTATATTTTATTAATTTTTATTATTTAATTATGACATTAAAGATTGACACGTTTGACACAAAAGTTGAATTATTGATCTTTGTCAAGCAATTAAACAATTTCATTTTTTGTCAGTTCTAAATTATGCATTTCATTCTCATTATCAATAAAAATAATTATTGTTTATTACACTTCTTTTTAAATTTGATTAATAAAATGTTATAAATGCATCTAATGTTTTCTACATTTTTGTAAACTTCTATATTTATTTTATTTTAAAAATTGTATTACCTAACTATGACTTCAAAGGTTGATCAACTTGATTCGAATGATTGAATTGCTTAACCACCACTTGGATAAAAGATGATTTTGTTTTTAAGTGAGTTTTAAAATATATGGGTTTATACTATTAAAAATATTGACATAGATATAATTAGTAGCATTTGTTAATGAATGATAACTTAAGTATAGGATTTAATAAGAGAAAAATGGGAGTTAATACCTTAAGTATAAGACTTAATGAAAGGGATTAAATAAGTTGGAAAGTAACTAATGAATTTACATTCATGAGATGAACTAAATACACAAATATTGTCATTTTAGTAGTCATTAAAAATATACAAAATTGACTTTTGTACCTTGTATCAAACAAATTAAAAAATAGAATTTTAGTAAAAAAAATTATGCTCTACATCTGCACTTTTATAAATAATACAAATATAAATATAGTACAAGTCTATCTTTTAACATAGGGCCCATTTAGTTCATGGGAATAGGAATCTTGAATCATAATTGGAATGGTCCAACCATTTGGCTAGGCGTAATTAGAATCTCATTCTTGTTTTTCGATGGAATGATATTCCTCCATTTAATAGACTGGTCATTCCCTCAACTCGGAATCTACTACCCACAAATTATTCCCACATTTGTACCCACAAAACACCATCGCTGTGTATTGGGAACATCTTCTCACGAATGACAAGGGAGATATTCTCAATGTGCAATTGTATTGTCCTTTGGGTAGGGATGTAGGGACACCTTGTGGGCAACAAATTAGAGCCCCATTCCCTCCCCTCCCTTTGAAATGAGAATCAATTCCAATGGATTTCGATTTCAATTCTGGTTTTTTGTTTAAACTAATTAGGTGAGATGAATAGACCATTCTAATTATTAATAAAAATTAATAAAATATAGAAATACAAAAATGAAAAAGATACATAAATTTTGCAAAAAAACATTCATGCACATGTATAATATCATGTATTTATCATATTAAACAAAACGTAAGTGTGACATATGAGAATTATTTTTATACACAAAAATACAAAAAAAAATTATAGAAAAATTAAACACATTTATAATTCTTTATTTACATTATTATTAAAAATATGAATAAGATTGTGGAACTTTCTTTTGACTAAAATTAAGGTTTTAAAAGCCAACCCATAAATGGAACCGCTTTGATTTCCGATTTATGGGTCTAGGGTTCAACCGTCCAATTTGAGCGGGTCAAATCGGTAAGATGTAAAATACAATGTAACTTTTTATTTTGACCGTTAGATTATGATTAGGTTAAAGTCCACCGTGTATATACATTATTATGAAATGGGAGTATAAGACTTTGAGAAGGAGGTGAGGTTGGTTTAAGTTGAGAAGTTTAAAAAAAATAATAATAATAAAAAGAGAAGAAGAAGAAGATGAAAAAAAAGGAAGCGTCACCGGAGGTGATTGTTATCATGTTCACCGATCGTTGTTGCATAACCTTTTGCCTTGCCTTGAGAAGAAGAAGCCATTGACGACTATATCCATGTTCATCATCATTGCCACTATAGCACTATTTGCCCTCTTTTTACATCTCTTTCATCTCTATAAATTTCTTTAAAATCTCAGATCGTTTTCTTTATTAGTGACTTGGTGTATCTAAGATTTTAATATAAGATCGATGTTTAATCTCTCATATCTTGCATTGATTTTTCGATTTTTTCATTGGAATTACAGTTTTTTTTTTGCTGTTACAACTTAAAAAGAATCACAAAAATGAGAAAACTCAAAATCGAAATGAAAAAAAAAACTAAAAATCCTAACTAATTTTGGCCATCAGGAATAATTGAACAAGATTATGAGATACGCTTTTTTTTTTCAAATTTTTTATTTTCTAAATTATATTTTAAAATAAATAAAAAAATTGGAATTAGTTTGAAAGCAATCCGAGAACTGTTAATCAGGTCGAACATTTGAATGGTTAAACCGATTGGGTCAGTGGTTATCTAACCATCTGGATGGTTTCTTTCTTTCTTTTTTTTCTTTTTTTTTTTTGTAAAATAGCGGTTCGGGGCCAAAACAGAATCAATGACTTGACTGGTTCTCGGGCCAAAATGGGTAAACTATTCGATTTGATCAAATTTTTAAAACAGTGACTAAAATACTCATTTTTAATTTAGTCCCTGTTTAATTGTAAGGTTTAAATTATAAATTTAACTACTACTTTTCGTCTCATTCTCTCTATTTAAATCTTACATTTTTTTTTTGATAAATGAAAAAAAAATACACCAAAAAGATAAAAATACTACAAAAAAAAGAGTATATCCAAGTAGGTAGGCATGCCAATGAACTTGAAACTATAATTGGATCTGATTATCACATATTTGGATGAATTATTTATGGAAAGGGCCCATAGTCAAAACATAAATAATGGGTCCCATATTCAATAAGATTTCATGATTTCACGATGTATCCATTCCAAAGCCGTTAGATCAGGATCAATTTGCATGAACCTTTAGGTGTGCCGTGCGCGGTAACCTTTGTGAATCACAAGTTCACAACCCATTCGGGAAACGTGTCAAAAATTTTCTTTCCAGAGACATTGGAAGAGGGCTAAACAGTTTCGATGGCCGAAAGTAACCATGGTAGCGAGAAGGTATTACTCTTAAGTAACCTGCCATGACCGTGCAACTTCGAATATTTTTTTTTCATGAGGGTAACTCTGTCACGGTAAAGGTATTTTCGTAGTTTTTGGAAATACAGGTTCGTTTTGGTAAATCGAGTTAGGGAGAGCCTGCTCCGTCCAACTACGAAAACCTTCGATCTAGATTCTAGTATTCAAGGAGTCCGCCACGCTGAAGGACGAGGACGACGTGATACTGTCTAGGGTGACATTAGGAACTGGATATCAGAGAGAGAGAGAGAGAGAGAGGATCCAGACACCAATCTCAGAGGTATTTCATTTTAAGTTGTCATTTTTCTTTTATTTTAGTTGCGTTTATTCGAAATATTTTTCCTTTCTTTTTTTTAAATTTCTTCATGGGGTTCTGATTCTGAATAGAGCACATCTCTTCTCTGTTATTTTGGTAATTTGAACGATTCGCCTTTCTTTCCGTTTTTTTACTGAAATTGAATTAATTTATTAAGTTTGGTAAATAGATTGCATTTTATTACCTGTTACTTGTGGATCCAATGATGTTTTTATTTATGGATGTTTTTTTGGCAAGCAGAGGAAGTTGGAATTTGTTTACATAATATTACAATTGAAGGAAGCATGAAGGGTAATGAACCAAAGGTACCTTCTCTGTTCTTTACATTCAAAAAGTTTTAGTTATGCAATAGTTGATTGCATTTTTTAAGTAAAAATCGTTTTTTTTTCCTGCAAATGGCTTTGCCTTCGCATGCGGAATCTCTGCATTTTTCCAGGAAACATGTTTCAATCTCATTTTGCTTTAGCATTGGAGTTTAGAAATTTGATGGTGGGAGTAAAGCAAAAGACGTTTAAATGAACTTCGATACTTCTGCTTGGAGATACGTCACACACCCATTTTTAATTTTAGTTATGGAAGGAAATTTCATCGACGTTAAACTTTTTTTTAAGTGCTGCTAGCTGGAGTATGGTTTAAAACTCTTTATTTTGTTTAACTAGTTTGTGGTTTAAATTCCATGTGTTATAATGAATGTTCGGTTGAGTTTTTTTGGCTATTATCATATGTGAACTGTGAAGTAGGAAGTGTAACTTAGTTCATAAATCTAGACACTATAACAAGTGCATAAGTTTTCAAATTAACATGATAATTTGAGGAATTGTGATTGCTTTGTTAGTGTTTCAACATGTAATACATAAAGCATATACAAATATACAATTTATGCTTGGATTTATGCAAATGCTAGGATAGATGAGTAGAAAAACTAGAAATGATAGGATTAAGAGTGAAGTTATCTGTAGGAACCTGGGAGTAGCTCCAATGGGTGATAAAATGAGAGAGAGATTAGACTAAAAGATGGTTTGGGCACATGCGTAGAAGACCACCAACTGCATCAGTTATAAGAAGTGATTTGTTACACATTGAAGGAGCTACAAGAGCACAGGGTAGACCAAAGAGGACATGAGTAGAAGTAATGAGGAATGATTTAAGCAATACTAATTTAATAGTGGATATGGCTTTAAATAGAATGGATTGACGAACAAGATTCATGTAGCTGACCCGCTATAGCCGGCCCCATTTCAAGCCAAATATCATTGATCTTTCCATTTAAATTCCAATTCCCTTCTATCAATCTGTTTCTAAATTAACCTTTCCACCAAGTTTCTTTTGTACTTTGCCACTTCCCTTTAGATATGAGGTGGGTAAAGCAAATTAGAAAGGGTTTTGGCCTTTTGGGACGATTTGTTGTGATGATTGGTTTTGCAGGTTATCTCCCACTATGAAGTTTTGGTTCTTAAATTAGTAGCTTTGTCTTGGCCTTAAACCTACACAATAAATTGCTATTAGGCTAGTTATTTATTTATTTATTGCAAAAAAGCCAGCTGATACCTGATGGCAATGTTCCTTATATCAACGAATTAGTATCTACCCTTGGATGTTGGGTGGGTTCTTTGCCAACTAAATACCTGGGCCTTCCGTTGGGTGCTAGTTACAGCTCCATAGCCATTTGGAACCTTGTCATTGAGCATTTCAGAAGAAAGCTCTCAGGATGGAAATGGAGATACCATTTTTTTTTGGAGGGGGGGGGACCTACACTCACTCATCTAGAGTGTATTATCCAACCTCTCCACTTATTATCTTTTGCTGTTCACAATCCCATTGTCTGTGGAAGATACACTGGTGAAGTTGTGTGGTTTCTTTGGGAAGGCCCAAATGAAGAGAAAAAATTCCATATGGTGGCTTGGAACAAAATCTGTAATCCTAGATAGAAGGTGGGCACTGCTTCACTGGTTTGAGGAAGTTAAAGTGATGAACAAGGATTTACTTAGTAGGTGTCTGTGATGGTTTGGGGAGAAACACAATCAGTTTTGGAGTGATAGGTGGTAACTACAGTGTTGCTCCCATGGAGTGGGATACTGTCATTCCTGCCCAGTTCTACATCTCTTCCATATGGAAGGAAGTAATGAATAAAGCAAGGTTATATATATATATATATATATATATATATATATATATATATATATATATATGGACTGATGTTTGGTGTGATGAACAACCTCTATGTGATGTTTATCCAAGCTTTATAGCATAGATGACAACAAGCTGGTGTCTGTTAAGGAGTGAATAGATAAGGCCATATGGGTTGGTTCTACCCAAATTCAGGCAGAGCTTGAATGGTTGGGAGGTGTGGCTCATTGAAGAGATGGTGCAGAGATTTAGGAGGCATTCAGTTGAACCCCCGGCAGAGAGACTCTTGTTTTTTGGCTGAGGGGGCATTAGGTTCCTTCTCCTCTAAGTCTTGTTACCAGGTGCTGATTGGAGAGTTCCAAGTTATTCTTTGTAGGATTTGGTGAGCCCAGGTCCTTTCCAAGGTTATCTTTTTTATTTGGACTGCTGGCTGGAATGGGATACACACTGTGGATTTGCTTGTGAAAAAGGGTATGAGTTTACACACTGTGTGCTGTTTTTGTGGGGTGTCTCCTGAGACAGCTGATCACTTGCTTATTCATTGCCCTCTACCTTTTTAATGTGGAGCCACTTCCTTAAGCTGTTCTAGAGGCAATGAGGATACCCTCTATCAGTGGCAGATCTATTATCTTCTTGGAGACTGGGTGGTTTCTCCACGAAAAGGAGAATCCTTTGGAACTTGCTGCCTTTTGCAGTCTGTTGGGGTGTTTGGAAGGAGGGGAATAACAGGGTGTTTCAACTTTCAAGGGAAGTCTTTCTCTCACGAGGTTCTGGTCTGCAAGATTGAATGGCTTCTAATTTGGTGGGCAATAGTACTATACCAATTTTCTGGGATTAAAGCTATCTCTTTCAAGGAAGATTGGTTTTATATTATTTTTTGATGAGTCTGGGACATTTTGTATATGCTATAGTTATACATGTATAGCATTTTTAAATCTTGTCTCTAAGGGTGTCTCGCCCTCCCTATAGCAAATCAATACAATACAACATTTTGCAGCTTTTCTAAAAAATAGTAGCTTTATTTATGATATTTAGGATGAAACCTAAAAAAGAAAAATTTGATTGTCATTAGGGATGAAGAGGGGAACATAATTGCTTTATACTCTGGCCCTTCAGAGCAGGGTTATGTGGCAAGATCAGAGTTTTTGGGGTTGAGAAGGCAAAAGAACTGGGTATTAGAAGGCTGATTATTGAGGGAGATTCTAAAACTGTGATTAAGTGGCTGGTTGAAGGGGAAGGGGTGGCATGGCATTTGAGGAATGAATTCAGAAAACTCAAATGGCTGTCACAGGACATGTTAATCCAAGTGAAATGGGTGAGGACTGCTACTAGCTTGGCAGATAGCTTAGCCAAGCAAGGGGTACATAGAACACATATGTTTTGGGCTCAAATGTAGTGCTGAATTGGGACAGTTTCTATTGCTGGTTCCTTTCACAACTTCTTCTTGTAATCATGTTTCTCACATAATTAATGAAAACTTTTCTGTGTTGCCGATAAAAAAAATGATTGTCTTTTTTGTCTATCTAGTATCATGAATGGGAGTTCTTTTTTTATCCCAAGATATTTTTACTGGGCAAGGAGGTTATGAAGTGAGACTATGATGTAAATTTCTATACACCTTTTATAACACTGTAATGGAATGTGCCAAAGCTTTATTATGATATCTGCAATTGTGCATGTTCGGCTTCTTGAAGAATAGAAGTCTGTGGCCATGGTGTTAAATTTCAGAAATTTGTTCTGAAATTTGCATTCTTTAAAGGTGCAATAATATTTTCAAATGTTATCTATATTATTCATCTTTTACAACATGAGGCCATTAGACCAAGCAATGCCCCTTATCTTTTATAACATAAATTTTGATAAATATATTTGTTCACTTCAAACAAATATATATATATATTATATATATATATATATATATATACAAAATCTCAATTATATCCTGCAAACAGTGGAATAAAATATTTGAAAGGAAATAGTCATTACAGATATTGGATAAGAATGTCATCCAACAAAGGATGCTCAAAGGATAAGGTTCTAAGTTTTGTTTTTTAGGACATTCTGCATCTTTGAAATGAGAAATCTTGATTTGGTATATTCCATTTTTTAATAGTATAAGGGGAACCTCTGAAGTCTGAACCTGTATTCTAGGCTCAAAATTTTTATACAATACCATATTGTATTGGCAAGCCCCTGATACTCTAAATAAAGGGGTTTTGGTGTTTTGAGTCTTTTCAGGGGGTGGGCAGGCCCAAGAATGACCCCCTGACTAATTTTGGAAAAAAACTAAAAAAAGTTGCGTGCTATTGAAACACCCAATACACAAGTTCGTGCATATTGGTTGCATTGATACTTTGAACCTTGCCTGTATTATAGCAGAGTTAATAGCTATTGTTCAGGGCCTGAAGTTGAGTTATGCATCAAGTATGGAGAAAGTCTTAGTTGAAGGGGATTTCAAACAGCCATAAACCAGATGCTATCGCAAACAAATGGACCATGAATTGTAAGGCACCTTGGGAGAAAGAAAATCTTTGGGGTGGAACTGTTCAAGTGGATACCAAGATTAATTAATGCCATAGGAGATAGTTTAGCAAGAAAAATTAATATACATACTCTCTTCTTGATTTCTCTAACTAGGAATAACTTTGTAATTTACTGGTTGATATTATATTGTTTTGTTAATGTCGGTCTATAGACTCTGGTAGGGGTGGAGTTGCATTTATTTCTCTCCTTGAAAATCAATAAAATCATTGATCTTGTTTATGATAATAGAAAAGTAAAATTTGTTTACATTTTTCCATGAAACATTAACAAATGTTAAGAGAGACTTAATTTATCAAAACAAAAGTTAAGAGAGACTTTTTTATAGACACGAGACTCATAATGCTACCAAAGAAACATTTGTTCCATGTAAAACATAATGGTTGATGAAATATTATAGCATTGATCAACATAATTTTGTAAATGAATGAGCATACATATATAGTTTAAATATGTGTGCATCCTTTAAGTGCACATTAGGAAATGGAAGAGAAATAGGTGTCCAAGAATTAGGTGGGAAAACTTGAAAGAGGAAAAGCTAGCTCAATTTAGAGTCAGATTGATAATAGAAGGGAATTGGAATTTAGATGGAAAGATTAATGATAATTGGCTTGAAATGGCAAACAATATAAAGAAAGTGGCAAAGGATATCTTATGAGAATATAAAGGGAAGTGGCAAGGTACTAAGGAAACTGGTGGTGGAATTAAAAGGTTCAAAATATAATTAGATTAAAATGAGCATGCTACAAAGAATGACGAAAAGCTAGAAATGTAGAAACCTAGGAAAAATATAAAACCATAAGAAAGGAAGTTAAAAAAAAGTGAATGAAGTAAATGTAAGTAGATCTGGCAAAAAGGTGGCCCAACTTGCAAACCCGACCCAATCCAACCTGAAAAACAGGGTTAAGGTCTCATATTTAGCTACATGAATGTGAAAATGACTGACCCGACCCGGAAAAAACTAGGTTGGGTTGGGTCATGGGTTAACCCACCAACCCGATTGTTAGGTTTAATTGGGACTATTTATGTATCGTTAGAAGTTTCCACTCTTTAATCTTTACTATTTAGTCTTTACACTTTATCGTTTACTCTTTGAATTGTAATGTTCAAAGTTTTTTATTTTATTTTTAGAATTTTAAAGTTATTTCCTTTAATTTTGGCAGTTTTTAGTATTTTTCTTTATTTTTTAGATTTCCATTTATTTTTAGGGATGACCCAAATTGAGCAGTGAGTAAACCCTAACCTTTCCAACCCAACCCGACTCGAAATCAACCCGAAGTGTCTTGACCCAACCCGAACTTGACCTACCCAACCCAATTGCCAGGTCTAAATGTAAGGCTTATGGTGAGCTTTACCACAAATTAGGCACTAAAGAGGGGGACAAAGCAATTTATAAATTAGCAAAGCTGAGAGAAAGGAAAGGCAGAAGTTTAAACCATGTTAGGTGCATTAAAGATGTAAAAACTATTTTGAAAATTTATTAAATGAACAACGGGGAGAGGGTGCTAATGGAGGAGAATCTAGAAATACTAGTAATGTTAAAAATAATACGTACTTTCGTAGAGTTAGGCCCATTGATGTAAAAGAGGCACTAAATAAAGTTTATTTTTCTTTCTTGATAAAGTTTCCTCTTTTCTCCTCTTTCTTAATAAAGTTTATTTTTTATTTATCTCAAAAAAATGTAAAAGAGGCACTAAATAAGATGAAGAAAGGAAAGGCGTTATGATCTGATGGAATTCCAATAGAAGTATGGGAAGGTATGGAAGAGGTAGGCTTGTTATGGCTAACCAAGCTATTTAATAAGATAGCGAAAGAAAGAAGATGCCTGATAATTGAGAAACAATGGTATGGTGCCTATATTTGAGAACTAAGGTGATATACAAAGTTGTAATAACTATCGTGGGATTAAGCTTATTAACCACACTATGAAACTTTGGGGGAGAATAATTGGACAAAGATTACAACTTGAAACAAGTGTATCGGAGAACCAATTTGGCTTTATTCCACGGGGATCAACCATGGAACTTATATTTCTTTTGAGATGATTGACAAAAACGTTCAAAGGGAAGAAGAAAGATCTTCATATGGTGTTCATTGATCTAGAAAAGGCATATGATATAGTTCCTAGAGAGATAATATGGTAGGTCTTGGAAAAGAAAGGGGGTTCAAAATAGGCATATAGACCATAATTAAGGATATGTATGAGGGGGCAACAACCAATGTTAGAACACCTATGGGAGACTTCAAATTTTACAATTATTATGGGTCTTCACCAAGGTTCAACACTTCACCCTTATCTATTTGCACTGATCATAAATGAATTGACTAAACATATTCAGGGGGGAAGTTCCATGGTGCATGTTGTTTGCAGATGGCATTGCTTTCATTGATGAAACTAATGAAGGATTAAATGCAAAAATAAGCTTATGGACAAATGCCTTAGAAACAAGAGGTTTTAAAACAAGTAGGACTAAGACATAGTCTATGACATGTAAAATTAATAATAATAGGAATGTAAATCAAGATACACTTGGGATTGAAGACCAAGAGATAACTCAATATGACCATTTCTGGTACCTTGGTTCAATAATTCATAACAAGGGAGAGATTGAGGAGGATTTTACCCAAAGGATTAGAGTAGGATGGGCAAAATGGAGGGTGCATCTAGACTTTTATGTGATAGGCGAATACCACATAGATTAAAAGGAAAATTCTACAAAGCACTTGTAATGCCGACTATATTGTATGTAGCGTAGAGTGTTGGGCAGTCAAGAAACATGTCTAGAAAATGAATGTGGCAGAAATGCAAATGCTAAGATGGATGAGTGGAAAAACTAGAATGGATAAGATTAGGAATGAAGTTATTCATAGGAACCTAGGAGTAGCTCTAATAGGTGATAAAATGAGAGAGAGTAGAGTAAGATGGTTTGTGCACCAACCATGCCAGTTAGAAGAAGTGATTTGTTACACATTGAAGGGATGAGAAGAGCTCAGGGTAGACCAAAAAGGACATGGGTAGAAGTGATAAGACATGATTTAAGCACTAATAATGTAACAGTTGATATGGCTTTAAATAGAACGGATTGGCAAAACAAGACTCATGTAGCCAACCCCATATAGTTGGGATAAGGCATGATGATGATGATGACATGATGTATGTATGCATCCTTTATACCTGGTACCATTCTCCTCTCTTATTCAAGGTTTAATGTGCAAGGTTCTATGTTCTAATCCTTTAATCCATCCCAAGAGTAAATTTTGTCTATTAATTGTTGAATCTTAAATTATTAATCTTATTAAAGTTGGAATTAGATTAAGTTAGACTCTGCACCATTTGAAATATGTGCATCCATTTTCACTTGGTTGTATTATTGTTTCTTTATTCAGATGCCAAGAATGGAGGATATTCTTAGCCTTCCAGTGCAAGATCCTCCTTGTGCAGAGTTTTCTGCAGCTCATATAAACTGGGTAAAAGTTGAGGGCGGTCGCCAGGGTGGTGATGACATTGCCCTAATCCCCTTCTCTAGAGTTGATGATTTCGTAAAAGGTGAATCTACCAATGCAGAATGCCCTGCTAACTTCCGTATTGAGTCAAGAAGAAAGCGACCCGAAGGGAGTGTTAGTAAGCCAAGGGTTGATGGTTATCTTGAATATACACTGTATGCTTTCATGGCTGACTTATTCTTCCATGTAGTTTCCATTCCCAAGCTGCATCTAGATGACTTGTTTTTGCCTGTTAATTTTGTAGATATTGGTGTTCATATGGTCCTGAAGACTACCGAGATAGTGAGTCTGGTGTTGGTGATGGCTCAAACAGTAAACCAACATCAGGGAAAGGTAGTAGGCCTGGAAGACGTCACATGATGAGAGGATGCCTTTGCCACTTCACTGTGAAGCGCTTATATACTCGTCCTCTCCTTGCACTTATCATCTATAATCAGCGAAATCATGTGGATAAGACAGGGGCTCCTTGTCATGGGATACTTGATAGAGATGCTGTGGGAACTAGAGCTATGTATGCTCCTCGGATCTCAGAGGAATTACGTCAAAAAGTGATGTCTATGCTTTATGTTGGAATATCATTGGATAATATTATTCAGCATCACATTGAGGAAGTAGAAAGGCATGGTGGGCCCTGCAACCGTGATGATTTTCTCACTCGGAATGATGTTCGCAACATGGACAGGGTGATCCGACATTCCACATATCAGTTACATGCAAATGATATATGTAGTATACGTATGTGGGTGCAACGCCACCAGAAAAATGTGTTCTTCTTCCAAGATTCATCACCTACAGAATCATTTATTCTGGGTATACAGACAGAATGGCAGTTGCAGCAGATGCTACGTTATGGCCATGATAGTTCTGTAGCCTCTCATTCGAATTTTGGCTTGAAGAAACTCAGGGTACATGATCTTCTCTTCCTGATGTTGTTTTGTTGCTAGGCATGAATAAATTTATGGATGCATGTAGGCCCAGATGAATCAAGATAAGTCGAAGTCTTGATTCTATATATTTTGGATTATACTTAGGCCCAAGCCCAACCCAAAACCAAACAATTTATTGGACTGGAGGCATGGGCTTTACATATTTTGCTGAACACTTAAAGCCTGAGCCCTGAGTATCTACACATCAGGCTTCAAAATTAGGCTATATTGGGCCCAATGCAGGCAGGTGCATATGGGTCAGGGCAGTGTAGTCCTTGTGCATCTCTAACTAGAAGATCCATCATCCATGTCAACATGTTATTGGGCCAAAGAGGCAATCCATTCAGTCAGTGGAACACTTTTCTCATTTGGCATGAATTCCATAGTTCCATTTGCACAATCCAATCGTTAGGTTCCTCCAATCAGGCTATTTTTGTTTCTTTTCCTTTATTCCCTTTTTCTTTTTGTGTCAGAGTAACTTATGCATGGTGAGGAAAGAATGTTCATGTAGTACAGCAGTATTGACTATTGATAATTAATACATAACTTGTGCATTAGCTCTTAAATAACTAATGATTGGCGCTGCTTCTTTCCCTCCCTGTTTACAGTACCCGTTGTGCACCTTATTAGTTTTTGACTCATGCCAGAATGCAATTCCAGTCGCATGGGTTATCACATCCAATTCTGATGGTCAAGATGTCCATAAGTGGATGGGATCCCTTGTTGAAAGAATCAGAGCCAAGGACCCAAGGTGGAGACCCAATGCCTTTCTGCTGGATGATCCATCTTTCAAAGCTCTTACTGTCAGGTGCTCTATTTAATTGTGGCCTTTCTGTCTATGTTTTACTCTTTTCATTATAATAGATTGTAGAAGTGCTGACATCATGCTACCCAAATGCAGAGAAGCCTTCCAGTGCAGAGTTCTCTTGTGCCTTTGGCATGTTCGCCGTTCCTGGATAAGAAGCCTACTGAAGAAGTGCTACAATTTTGATGTGCAGAGAGAGATGTTCAAGTACCTGGGCCGGGTTTTATATTGCATGAGGACCATGGATGCAATAGAAGAATTTATGCAAATTTTTGTTGATCAATGTGCATTCATGGATTATTTTAGGGCTCGCTGGCTGCCAAGCTTAGGTATGCTATCTAAATATTCTCAACTTGTCTCCATTAATGCTATCTCTCATTTACACTATAGATGAAGACTTACTTCCCATAGAATGATATTCTATAAGGCAACAGAAAATAATTCTAGCATAGAAACTGAACCATTTGAGAAGCATGGGGATGTACTGTAACCTGTAGAAGCATACATATAAAAATGTAGCAAAGTACACAACTGATCAGAGACATTTTGGAAAGGCTTGGATGCTGATGAAAATGATGATCTCAGAAATTCTAGGAAGAAAGTATGCATTCTGATTGGACAAAGACTATACTTTTAGAATTCCCTTCAGAAGATAAAATATGAAATATAATATGGGCCTAGCATCATGGGTCTTGTCCATCATGAAGATCTGAAATTACAAGGGGAAAAAATTTAAACAGGGGTTCTTGTGCAAATACAGGGGGTTATGTGATGCTACATCTTGTCCTGTGGTTTAAGGGTCCTATGAGGGCCAAGTCTGCAACAAGAATCCACCTTAATATATAATCTATGCACAAGTACCGGCATCAAAACTGGCATTAAAACATGATTGCTTACAGAACGACATTGGGTTTTGACTTGCTTGATTGCCATATCTAAATATCCAACTATAGCATATATGCACCTTGCATTATGTTTTAGTGTGCCTGTTTCTAATTACTGCTATTCTATTAACCAGAGTTGTGGGTGAATGGCATGAGGACTCTCCCAGTTTCAAATCAAGAGCCACATGCTGCACTCGAGTCCTATCACTTAAGGTTGAAATCCAAACTGTTTAATGAGTTACAAGCTGCTTCCTGGCTAAGAGTTGATTGGCTGGTTCATACCTTGACCACCGAGTTCCATTCCTTGTACTGGTTTGAGCAATACACTGAAGAAACTGGGTATTTTAGAAATCTGAGGGAGGGGTCCTTTTCAAACAACTCCTGGTACCGGGCATTACTCATTCCTGATGACGATGTAATCATGGATGAGGAAGATCTACGGATTGTGAAGGTTTTCTCCCTATCAGACAGGGGCCTGGCATATACCATCTGGAATCCCGGGTCAGAATTTGCACTTTGTGATTGCCCCTGGTCAAGGTTGGGCAATCTTTGTAAGCATGTAATCAAGGTGGGCATCCTGTGTAGAAACCGTCATGTTGCAAGGCCTTCATTGGCTGCTCAGACTTATCGACAGGCATTGCTTAGCCTTCTGCAGAACCTTCCTGATGATCCTATAGTTCTTGACCATGCCATCTTGCATGTTACCCGCATGCAGCAGGATATCAAAGGCTTGGAGGACTTATCTAATAGTGGCCTGCTCCAGCCATTAACTCCTGTTGAGGCAAATTCTCAAATTGCAGATAGCATTCTACCTTTGCCACAGCTTCATTGATTGGATGGTTGGAGGGTTTTGATATTGTTGTTTGGACTACCATATTAATTTGATCTGTAAAAATCTGATGAGGCTGTTATAAATGTTCCATTTTAGTTGCTGATCATTGAGGTAAGTGGTAAACTGATTTGGATGAGGTTTTCAACAATGTTATGTTTCTCACATTGCTGATCTATTGATATAACCTGATTCCAGGGTTTGCTGATTTGGATTCTTGAAAAGCGTCTCTCAAGAATGATAGCAGTGGTTTCCATTTCATTTGTTATCCAGGAATCAAACTTGAAATGGGAGACAGAACCTGCACTAGTCATTAACCACAAGTTTGGGTATTTTCATGCATGAATTCTAATTCCCTTCAGATACATTTAATAGAATTGATGGTCAATGCTTTTCTCTGTCAAAAATAGTTTATCCATGCAAGTTCAATCACTAAGGTTTTCTTTTTCTATTGCATTGCTTGATTTGTTAACAGAGGGAGTACCCTAAACATTGACATTTGACAGCGTATTCTTATTTGGGAAGTATTTGAAACAGGTAATGCTAACCACTTACATTTCGTTGATTACATGCAAAGTTTGCTTTCTTATTTGTTAAAAACGTAGAAAAAACAACACTGAGCATGTGAAAGTATGATGACATCATCTATAATAAAGTTCATTGGTTTGGAATCAAAGAATTGTTTTTACATCTTTCCTTCATCCTATAGCCTTCTTCCTAGACACAATTACCTGAAAAGGGGAGGTTCTTTCTTTTTTGCTCGCTTTTCCTCTTTTTCCTATTCTGGCTGTTTTTGTTATTAAAAGGAGGTGCCTGGGAACTATGGAGAAGAATGAGGAGAAAAACAAACGTGAAAGGAAGGGAGGTTAGTATCTTCATTTTTCTAAGTTTTTTCTTACACTGTAAAATGCTTCCAATGCCAACTCCTTGCAGAAGAATCAGCTAGTGCATCATTCAGGCATTCCCTTCTTTTCATGTAAGTTTTTGGTGCCACGGATCAAAAGGAAGGAAAAAAAAGGATGCTTCTGGTGCCTTACAGGAAAGGAAAAAGCAAGAACAGAACAAATTTTCACTTGATGAATGTACATGTTCTTTGGAATTGTTTGAGGTTAGCAGGACCGTGACTTGTGGTTTTGTAATTGTTTGAGGTTAGCACTTGTTCTGTCCATTGTAAGCAAGATGATATCCATTTTTCCTCACATTGCTAATGCAGGTCCGAGGGATTCAAGTTGCCCATATCAACTCCCGAAGCTTTAGGTGATATCTTACAAGCATTAGTTGATCTTCAAATGTGGCTCTCTGCTGGTTCTGCAGCTGGTGAGCTTGTTTGCAGAACAATATCCACTGTGGGTCGATTCACCAATGGTTTGCTTATTATTATTCTTGGTAATTTTGTTGACTTGTTTTTTCTTTTAAGGAGTAACCTATACATTTCTTCTCTTAGAATGGTGTGTATTGCACAGAACAAGTGGGGTTATGTTTTTTTCCTATCCAAACTATATGGATATGGTATTCAAGATGTCTATGTAAACTATACCCTGTATACTAAGAAATCGAATCAAAGAGGAGAGATTATTTCATTGCCTTGCCATATCTGGTATCGTGCAATTCTCTGTCTTAAGCCAAGTGTCAGAGATGGCAATTTGATTTACCTGAGTGATCAGGGTTCAAATCTTACATACAACCTCTCTGTGCAACTGCAGGGGGTAAGGCTACGTAGCTTTACACTGGGCTGCTCTTTTTTTCCCCTTGGAGAATGACTCATATTTTATGTTCTGCGTTGAGCTTTGGGCCCTAGTGCAGATTAGAGAAGATGCAGAAAATCCTCGCTTGGGCTGTGCTTAATACCAATAGTTCAAACAAATTATGTTCTGTCATGCATTAGTCTTGTCTTCCTCTTGTTCTGATTCGTCTCAGTTTGGAAAGAGTACAAATCTTGTTATTCCTCTCTTTCATGGTTGCTCCAGCTTACTACAAAATCTTGTTACATGGGTGCTTAGGTGGGCGAACAAAAGGGAAATATGTTCAACAGTACAAAGGTACCAAGCCAACGCAGAGCTTTTAGCCCAACAAAATCATTCACCTGGCGCAATAAAGCCTTTGAAAGTAACCCAAAAAAACACCACAGTTGGCATCACTTACGACCCCAAGTGGGTTTTTGGGTGGAGGATGCAGAGCTAGTGTAGTGTGTACTGAAAGCGATGAAGTGGTCTTGGCTTGGGCTACACCTAAGCAACCATGTCTATGGAAACAAGATTCCCACACTGTTTTAAACTGGTGAGTGATTTGATGGGACCAACTTAGTAATGGCCTTTAATGTACCTGGAACACCTGTGTGAAGAATGCCCATCAGATTCAGATTGATGAGCTTCTTCTGTCTGGGCCCTATCTCAAAAGGACCCTAACAGTCAGTCAGTGACAGATGATACTTCCTTTCATATAAATAAACTGCTGCTCCCTTGGAACTTCCCTAGTCCTAAAAGCTCAGTTACATCCCACAAGGACTCAAGGAGGTAACTGATCAAATGGTGCTAATCGTTTTAGGGAAGTGATTGAATCACCCATGGTCCAACGTGGCAAAACTCCAAGGGGATGCCCACATGGCAAACCGGAAGTGTTGCCCTAAAAGGTCAGGCCCCAAATATCTCTCCCCCTAATTTTAAGGAGAATCGACCTTCCTTGTTAGCCACATTTGAATAAAAAATTTCTTATCTTCTGTACATGGAAATTTTCCAAAAGCAGATTTACAGAGTTTTGGGTGATTTTCCAATCTCCGTTTGGGCCCAAATTTTATGAGCATTGATAATGAGCTATTCTGATCTGTCATGTGGCACGTCAGATCACAGGCGACTCACCCAACAGTACTCATCATTTAATGGAGCTGGCTTATGGGCTGTCAGATCTTTCAAGGTGGCTGATTTGAGTGCACACTGCAAGTGTTAAGAGTGTAAGTGGCCTACCAGAGGCAATAAATAAATGCATCATAATCATATTGAAGTGTTGTATCCTACTATTTCATATTCAACAAGAACATAATATTTTAAGATGTATAATAACACAGACTAACGGTTTGACTTTTTAGATTTCAACTTCATACAAAAGAATTTTGTACTTTGCAGTATAAACTTCAATCATTCCACCTACCATTTACATTGTGTGAAAAACGAAAAAAAAAAAAAATTACCATCCACAAACTTACTGTGACAGTGAGTCGGGCCGGGTTAGGTTGGGTTGAGGCCAATCCTAAGTTCTAAACCGCCCCCCTGAACTGGTTTAAGTAAAAAAAAAAACAGTATCAATTCTCCCGATATGCCCCTATCAGTGTATTGGGCGTGTCGATATTTTGAACCTTGCTTATAACATATATTTATATATGACATGTACTATAGAGTCAGGTTCAGATTGCCTAAGGGGTCAACCCTAACCCTAATCCGAACATCAACCTGACCCAACCCAACCCAACTTTTTTGGATTGGGCTTTGGCCAACCCGGCCCAAGTTGTAGCCTTAGGTAGCACTGCCCTGCATTTACTGATGGGGTTGTGCCAACCGTAGTAAGTTTGGAATGATATGTATAGGGATGCCAACAGGTCACACCCACCATGGGGTGGGTTCAAACTGAACTCGACCCAAAGCACAACCAACCCCAAATTCAACCCGACCAGACTATGAGGCTACGTTTTAATTCGGTGTAAAAGTAAAATTACACTGATGGAGTTATACACTGTTCGATTTAAAGTTATGGGCCGTTGTAAATGAAAAGTGGAATTATTGTTGTAAATATTTATTTCGCTTTTATCGAAGTTGTGGTTTATATTGATTGTCGATGTAAAACTCAAAGTGAGTGGAATTTTACATCGATTTTGGATGTTTAACTATATTCCATCCAAACACTGACAAAATCGAATCAGAGTGTTTAATTACATCAGTCTGTATTACACCGCAAACAAATGCACACTATTAGGGAGTATCAAACCTGACTGGACACATTTCATATATAGTATACCTATACTCAACCAAGCTTTTATACATGTATTTCAATGCTATTATATCAATGGGTCAGATTCAGCATGGGTTCTTCACCTCAACCCGAACCTTATTGAGGATGACCCGACCCTGACCTAATAGGGTCAGATCAGTGTGGACTTCCCACTTAGTCCAATTCATTGACTTTCCTAAATATGTATATGACTGCATATGTTGTTTTTATATTAAATATATTGTAATGTTTTTCTTCAGTTTTATTTCAAAACAGTAAAAAATCATTTTCAAAGCAAATGTACAATATAAATGTTCAAAAAATCGGGGACAGAAAGCTAGGTTGTTTTATGTCTTTAATTTATCATTTATGAAGAAAATATATGACATTAAATAAAACAGGATTCATGTAATGAGGTAATGGTAGATGAGGATGAGTTTCAGTCACATCCCATTTTAGATATCAAAAAGTCATAGGTAAAAACCCTAAAATATTAACCCTTTTTCTTTGGGTAATACGGATGAAGTTGATTTGGACACGTATACGGGTACATCCCCTTTGAAAAGACGGAAATGCCTTTTAAGCGGACTACTTTTTAGGGCATTATTAAGGCGCGTGTCTCTTATACAAAACAACTGGATATGCTTCAATCACCACACATTACATACAATATACACAAAGGTAACTTTGACTTCTAAACAACTATATAACTCCTTGGCTGTTAATTAGGGATGCAATTAGATGAGATCGACCAAAATAGTGATTATTTATACAAATAAATATTTATTAATTCTATAATTTATATCTATTCTATATATATAAAGTAAGGTGGTCTACGTCAGAGAGCCTTTCCTTGCTCCAAATTAGGGTTTAAAAAATTGATACGTATCAACCGATATGTATTATATTAGGAATACTTTGATATGCCCTTACAGAGTGTGTATCAGGGTTTTGATTGGTTCAAGGGGTGGAGGAACTTTAACCGGTCCCTTGAATTGGTTTTGAAAAAATAAAAAAAAAGTAAATAAAAGTATTGATACGCCCCTATCGACGTATCGATATTTACAACATTGCTCCATACTCTCTTCTTAATTTCCTTTTTTTTTGAATTTTTTATATTTTTAATTCCATGTCCATTAAACCAATAAGGAAACAATATAGGCAATAATACCCTTATCTTATTCCTAAAATCTCTCTCTCTCCGATTTCCAATCAACTAAAAATCATCTCCTCTCCTGAAAATTCTCTCTCTCTTTGGTTCCCAATCAACTAAATCATCTCCTCTCCTAAAAAATTCTCCTAAACTATCTTCCCCACCTAAAACTTCCTCCTAAAACGTCTCCTAACCTATCTTGCAATAAACAAACTAATTCTAATGCCTCTTTCTCAACCCTATCTCTCTCTTTCTCTATCTAAAACTAAAGCGGCCTTCGGTTGGTTGATGGTGGTTCAATTGCACCTCGGAACATATCCTCCAAATGCCGAAAACTCGGAAAATTTCGAAGATCAAGCTACACCTGAGCACGTTCAGAGGTAGTGAACGACATTTGTTAGGGGAGAAGTACAAATCAGCCCAGCTCAGAATTTACTAGGCCCAAAGTACAGGGGGAATGCATCCTGACCGTGAATTGATGCCAAATTCACGGGCAGGATGTGATTTATAATGGGGGACAGAGCTAGTTGTAGGGGGGTTGGAATTCAGAATTCTGCATCGTGTGTCTCCCTACTTTTCCCAAAAATATTCAACATCTTTGGTTTGATTCTTTGATGAAAACTAATGATTAGATTTCTTGCATAGGCCCACAACCTGGATAAAGCATCTCGAATAGGGAACGGGGGCTTTGTTTCTTCAATAGGATCTAGAATAGGGAGGTGACCTTGTTTCTAGAATAGGGAGGTTGCATAGGCCCACAACCTGTCTTGCATAGGGGGATGACTTTGTTTCTATTTAAATTTAATTTTAAAATAATAAAAAATAAACACAAGAAGCCTAATTCAATATGGGTTTACCTTCACCCTACCCTGGCCCTTCATTGCCATGTCACCTTACAAAGGACCATAAACAAAGGTAGATATTTATCTTTGATTAATTATTATTATTTTTTTTTTGATAACTCATAGTTTTCCAGCAATGTTGCCATCAGATGTTGGATTTGGACAAAAACCATATGGGGTATTCAATAAAATCGGGAAATAGATTGATGCATAGCAATTTGCTGTGAACCCATGTATGTTTTCATTGTATCATGCGTTGCTTGAGTTACAGAAACAGTTCATAACAGAGCCTTCTCTTTATTTTGTAAATGGTTTTTGTCTGACCATAAAAAGATACATCGTCGTTTGGGTTTTATTTTACTTCTAAATATTTTGAATTAATGGCTGTTATTTCAGTCATGCATGTCTTCTTCTAACTTATCAATCGTTCATAAGATCAGTTCTTCAAGATAAATTTGGATTTGTTTGATCATAGAAAGTTGTTTATTTATTGTTTCAGGCCATATCTTCTTATAACTTATGAGTCGATCATATCTTCTTCAAGATAAGTTTTTGGTCCTGCTCCTCTCTATTCATTCCGAGTATAAAAACTCTTTCATGGATTCTA